GAAGATTTTAATTTTGAGTTGGGTGTGAGATTCCCAGTTTTGAGAGAAGGTTAGGGTAGTGGGGTGGTGAGTTCTGGTGTGGTGGTAGGCACTTTTGAAGGAGAAATATGAGTTGTTTTCTAGTGTCCAGATCGGATGATCATCATGTGATTGAATCAGTCCATCATGTGATTGAATCAGTCCAGTGTTTGAGAGGGTTGTTTTACAAATTTCTTTCCAGGTCGGTGAGTCCTGTGGTTTAGAGATCATGAGACCCAGCCTAGAGTATCTCTTGTGCATGTGTTGAGCCCAAATAGATTTTTGTTCAGAGTAGTTCCACCAAATTTTAAGTTTAAAGGACTCCTGAATGTCAGACAGTGACATTATCAATAAACCACCTTCATTCCCTTGTTTGCATAATTGAGACCAGTTCTTCCAGTGATACTTATGTTTGCTTCCTTTATTACCCCAAAAAAAATTACTCCTGAGTCTGTTTAGGCTCAGGATAATCTTTCTGGGGAATTTGGTTACTGCCAGTTGGAATGACGGGATTGTGGTAAGAACATGCTTGATCAGTACTAACTGGCCTGCCTGTTTCAGATTTTTTTTATTCCAGGAGATGAGTCTGGACTCGAAGTTTTGCAGAATCTTTGCACAGTGGGAAGGTCTTGTGACCCCTTGATAGAGAGTAGCTCCCAGGTAGGTTAGGGGCAGATTTGAAGCCTTCATACCAGTAAGTTTTTTCAGCCCTATTTTCCTTGCCAAGTTTGTGTTTTTGCTAACAATAATAACACTTTTGTTGTTGTTTACCACTTGGCCAGTGGCATCAGAGAAGAGTTGCAGAAAGTTCTTAAGGTTCCAGATAGGATCACACCCATTGAGGAAGAGAAGTAGATCATCTGCGTATCCGAGCTGCGTAACTGGGGAGGGATCTATGCCTATTAGATAGGGTTTAATTTTGTATGTATCAAATAAGCTCTGTAAACCCCGTGTAAAACTCTCTATAACAATCAAAAACAGGTATGGGGATAGGGGGTCTCCCTGTTTGACCCCCCGGCTATGGATCTTTATTAGTAATCGTTTATTAGCGATTAGCTGGTTTTGCTAGCTGCTAGCAGTTTTGAATTTTGATTACTCTATTGTTAGTTGTATTGGCAAGGATCGGTTTTTGGATTTCATTGGTTCAGGTTTTTCCTACCCCTACCTAACTTCATCTCAGTAGTGCAAAAAAACATTATATGCGGCGCTTTTAGAAGGCAACGCGTGGCGGTTTTGACCGCCACGTAATGTACCTATCGTAAATTTAAAACGCACGGCGGTTTTTAGTGACGGAATCGCCGCCAATTATTCATTTAAAAAAAGCAAAATTAAGTATATGTCGGATGGTTTTGTTATTAACAACCGCCGTGCGTGTTGCAAAATCGAAAGGTATAGGGCAACGGGTTTTATACAAAGAACTGTCGCATATGTCATGTTATAAATGTAATTAAATTTCATCCACGTCGGGTTTCACAATAAGAATCGTGACATTCATGTAATTTCCATGTTTATGTTTGTGTTTTTAATTAGTTTTGATTAATTGTTGCTTTGGAAATTACACATTTTTGGTGTAATAGTTTAGTTTGTAAAATATTTGTAATTTGTTTAGATTAGGTTTATTTTGAGCTAAAACAGGTCCATGTTCACTCAAGAGACCGTTGGTGAACCTCAAAAGTGGAAGGAAGGTGCAAGGTTACAAGACAAAATGAAGAAATCTGATTTTTGTGTTGTACCCATCGGGTATGACCTATACCTGATCGGGTACCTTGCTAAAAAAACAAATCGGATCAAATCCGGGAACAAGGCATCATGCAGGAAGATAGTTGACCAGTTTGAGTGTCATACCCGGTCGGGTATGCCCCACTTTTCCAACTTCCGGGAAGCTACTGAAGGTACCCGATCAGGTGCCCTATATGCCCGATCGGGTACACATCCCTGCATGCTCCATTTTCCCTATAAATACACCCCTTTCCTTCACACAAAAATCACCAATTCACATATACTTCTTAGCTCAGTTTTGACAAGTTTTCTCTTTATAATTTTATCATGTTTAGTCTTCAAATGAGGAGCTAAACTCTTTCATCTTGGTTTTGCTACTTTGAAGCTTAATGAATTGTAAGTTGTGAGTTATTTTCTTTAATCTTCTTCCTTGAATAATAATTAATCTATCTCTATATTAATGTTGGGGAGTGTTGCTAAGATGACAATTAGTTAACATCCCAACATTAGTTATAGTAGCATTTATTTTCTTTAATCTTCTTCCTTGAATATTAATTAATTCCTATTCATATTTCATATTAATATTTTGAACATTACTTAAAGGATCAACTAGTTTTGTTTCATCTATTAATTATTACTAGAATCGATCGACGAATACGCTTGTTAATCGTTCGGTCCTTTCACGGTAGTAAACTTGGATTATTAATGCATGTGTTTCATGGTTAATAATCTAAGGGGAATTAATTATATTGATTAAACCGCTTGTGTTGAGGTTATCAATCTCAATCATTTTCATCTTAAGTTTATTGCTACTATCGGGTTAATATACGGCGTGTGTTCTATATTGACTCGCTAGTAAGTTTTATTAATGAACTCGATGAATTGGATATACTCCTCGATTGAGTATTCAAGAGAAAGATAGTTAAAGATATAACCGTGTGCTTGAGGGCAAGCAAAATCTTAAGTGTGGGGGAATCTGATAAATCCGTATTTCGACACACATTTGATGCGTGTTGGGATCAGCTTTTGATGGTTTTCCTAGATTTAAGGTGTCACAAGTCTCAATTTTAGCTCAAGTTATATTTATCGGGCGTTGGTTCGAGTTTTGTGTTGTTTGGAGTCAAAATCAGGGAATTTGAGCCCGGCACCGATGCTTGAGAAGCAATCGGGATGAGTAGAGAAGCATTCGAGAGTGATTCGAGAGTTTTGACTTTTGGAGGTCAGCGGGAGCCGCCGGGAGGTTCTTGATGATGATTTGAAGTCAAAAGAGCCAAAAAAATCGAGCACGGGAGCAATCACGGACGAAAAGGGATGAAAAACGGCCAAAAAGTCAAGTTGGAAGGTCCGCACGTCAAGAGGACAGAACCCGCACGCCATGTGACCTTTCCCGCTCGTCGTGCGGGATGAATTTGTGATCCCTAGACGTCCCACTCGCCGAGCGGACTTAACCCGCACGCCGAGCGGGCTAATTTTTTCGGAAATCCTACGATAGACCCGCACGCCGAGCGGGCTAATTTTTTCGGAAATCTTACGATAGACCCGCACGCCGAGCGGACTTAACCCGCACGCCGAGCGGGTGGCCCTGCAGTCCTAGTTCGCCCCAAATTTATCTGTTTTCTATTTAAACACCCCGGAACCCCCTGTTTTAGGTGACGGAATTTAGAGAGAGACCTAGGGACGAATTTATCTGTGTTTTTCCTCTGTTTTCTTCAAGACCCTGGGATTATTTGTAAGTTCCTACTTTTTAATTAATGACAATTATTTCTATTAATCTCAATTCTGTTGATTCTTCAAGTATGAATTGTGAGTAGTTTAATTAGGGATTTGACACTGATGAAGGGGTTAATCATGATGTATGGCTAGTTTCTTGATGGATTAATGGCATGAATGCCGTTTATTTTGTGTTTGAATAATTTAATTGACATCTTTTGTATCCTAGAACTGCGGCTAGAATTACAATTGCTTGTAGAATAAATTAAGAGAGATCTAGTTTATTCTAGGACACCTTCACACACACTTAATCGCTCACTAAGAGATTAGTTGCGATTAAGGGGCCGTAAGCTCGCTCGTCTTGCCAATAATTTAGGATCATGTCGCATGAGAGATCAGCTTGGTCCCCTAAATTATTGTACTCTACGCCGCGAGAGCGGTAAGAACTTAGTAATGATTAACTAGGCTCAATTAAATTAATTTCATGTAATTAAGCCTGATCTGCCAAAAATCTGGTTACCCCGTAATCAATCTCTTTTCCCTTTATCGTCATTAATTAGAGAGAAACGAATCTTTTTATTCGTTCGATTGCATATTACAGATTTACAAGAAAAGGGTTAAAGTTGGACATGCTATTATATAAACCTTCTTCTATGAGTTTTTGGCATTCAGTAGGTTCCAGTTTTCCTTTCATCTTGTTTGCAACAACATTCCTCTCTACACGAAGCCTTTCAACTTCCTGCTATCTGTCACTAACAATTAGTAACGCTTGAGATAATAGGTCCAAAACTAGACCAACACTTGAGAGTTGAGATACAATGCACTAGTGCACTACAATACTATCAACCTAACCTTCTGAACGTCAAGTAAACGCTAGAACAAACCTAATATTCATTGCCACATAATCCTTGTTCTCCCGAATCCACTTGAAATCTATCGCAGCTTTCTACTGATGTGGCTTCGCAGCCAAAATCCAATCTTTAGTCAAATAGCAAAAAAATTATACACGAGGAAAAATGAAAAAGAATGAAACTTTACACAAAAGGGCTGAGGAAAAATGAAAAAGAATGAAATTATACTCTGGATGCGGTGGGAACTAGGCACAGTTTTAGGACACCATCTGAATAGGGAGAGAGAAGGGGCGGCAGTGAATTTCAAGGATTTGAAGGTTGATGGTAAGCAATGTTCAGGAATGAAGAATTAGAGTTAGGCGCTCCTATTCTTTTACATATTACTCGTTACTCATTCTTATTTTTGTTTGATCAATTCAAATCAAAATAGTTAGTCTCACTTTTCCTTATCTGGGCAAACTTCGATTATTATTCAAATCACACAATGTGCATACATATGATAAATGTATAAACATGATAAATGTATTTTATACCCCTGTCAGCCTATGTTAGCTTTTATAAATATAACTCTCAAAAGATTATACAATGAGATGGATGATATATTGACATTTTATTCATAATATTTATATTTTCAAGAAATAATAATATGATTGTTACATGTATAATATCATATACACCCAGCACTGATATGTGCTAGGATGTCCCGATCATCTATTATAATGTTCCATACTTCCATTGATATACCTTTTACAAATACGGTGTATATGTTATTTGGGCATCATATTTATTTAGTATGAAGTAGTAAATTTATATGGTGTTCTTTACTATACCTTTTACAAATATGGAGTAAATGTTATTTGGGCATCATATTTATTTAACAAGGCTAAAAAAGTCTAAGAAGCCTGTTGCTTTCAAGCATCATCAAGTGCAAGAAGACCAGGAAGCAATTTCCTGTCTAGATATGGCTCATTTTTTCTGCCAACCCGACTTTCTCAACCGCTGCAACTGAGTCTCCGCCTCCAATAATTGTTGTCACTCCATTCCCGCTAAGCTCTGCCAATTTCTTTGCAATTGCCTCCGTGCCAGCAGCAAACTTCTCAAACTCAAAAACACCCATTGGCCCATTCCAAATGAGTGTTTGGGTGGTATCCAAAGCTTCACCAAATGTCTTGATTGTGTCTGGTCCCACATCTAACCCCATCCACCCCTCTGGAATTTCAGTTGAGCTAACCACCTGATATTAATTCCAACCCTTATCATTATCACATTTACTAATTACTTAATAACCCGTTTATTTACACCTCAAACTTCTTTAAATGAATATGTATTAGGCCATGTTCGATTTTTTACCTTGGAATTTGATTAAAACTCTTCAAAAACCTCACATGTATTTACATTGCTTGGTCTTTATACAAGTACACAACAGGTATAAAATAACATCTCCGTATACCGAGTTTGCAAAATATCTAAATCAAGTGCCTAACTGAGTTTGAACCCCCCAAAAATCAAAACTATTTTCCATAGTTTTTCTTTCCACTTTTAATTTTCTTCCAGATTATTTCCATAGAAATTTTCAAACACAAACGGGCTGTAGAAATGTAGAATAAAGGGACAAGTGAGTGAAACCTTGCTGTTAGCATCGGCAGAAAACTTGTCTGCAACCACAACATCAGTAGGAAGCAGTAATGAGACTCCTTTAGACTTGACCTTCTCGATGAGGGATTTGGCTAGCTCAAACTTGTCTTCCTCCAGGAGCGAGGATCCAACTTTGTATCCTTGAGCCTTGTAGAAAGTAAAAATCATCCCTCCACCCAGCAATAGCAAGTCAACCTTTTCCAGCAGGGACTCGATCACAGCAATTTTGGTGGATACTTTTGAACCTCCAACAATGGCAGCAAATGGCTTCTTTGGGCTACTCACAGCTCCAACTAAATAGTCAAGCTCCTGAGGGGAGGCAACAGAAGGAATGAAAGGAAATATTTTCAGTGGCTCAGAATATAACATATGACAATATCTGCAAGGTTGTAGTTATTAAATTAGGTCTAGCTCACTTGAAATTGGATACTTCCATACAAACCAGGCTTTGCAACTCGAGGAATGGTATATGAGTCAAACTTACCATATTGTATCAGTTTTAAATCAGCCCAAAAGGATTTTGAAGAGGTAAGATTTACAATATGCTTTTATTTTAGCCACAAATCTAGTAAGCACCCTATGGGGAACACTTAAAAGTGGCAATTGTAGTAATATGTTCCGATATCAATTCCCCAAAATACCACCACCCCCGCCCCCATTGAAATGCTTATACCTTCTGCATAAGGAATCCAGCTACAGCTGGTTTCAAGTACTTGGCCACTCCTTCTGTGGATGCATGAGCTCTGTGGGCAGTTCCAAATGCATCATTAACATACAAATCCGCAAGGGCAGCAAGCTTCTTTGCAAACTCGGGATCATTCTTCTCTTCCTCTTTGTAGAACCTCACATTCTCCAAAAGCAACACACCACCCTCTGGAGTTTCAGCAACCAATTTCTCGACTTCCTCACCAATACAGTCATTTGCCATCTTGACCTATTAATAAGCCATAAAAAATGTGTCTTTTTAGGGGGGGAGGAGAGAGAAAGAAATGTGGAGGGGAAATATGGAAGGCAGTGAGACTAAAAAACAAACCTCAATGCCAAGGAGTTCAGATAATCTAGGGACAAGAGGCTTCAAGCTATACTTTGGTGTGACCCCTTTTAGACGGCCTTACAACCAATAACTCAACTTATTAGAGCAAAGAGCAGCACAGTTCACTCATTCCAAGTACTAAATGTGGGGATATTTTAACAAGTAGTGGTTATAAAGAGCAAGTTATTACATATCAAAGCATTTTTTAAACACAGAAAGTAAATATTGAGTACATAAAAAAATAAGAGAGGTACAGGTACCAGGTATGTGCAGAGTGATTTGAAATTTAAGTCATGTAACACAACCAAATAAAAGTGTCTGAACTGAAAATGTGAATTTGAGGGTCTTGTATTTTTACTCGTTTTAAGAGCTGAAAGGCGCTATATTATAAAGGAAAAAGTTACACATAAAATTAAAAAAAAAATCACAAAATAATAAACAAGTTAAAATTTCCTAGCAGCAAGGAACATGAGTCTTGTATTGTACATTTGAAGGTGGTAATAAAATTTCCAGCTTCTTCATCATTTCCTCCAGCTTGTGCAGTTTCGCTTCTTCACCCGACTCCAACAAAATTCTCTTCAACATCTGGAACACCAATCCACTTATATGTCTACCTCTATCCATCATTTGCTTAGAACACTCCAAAGCCTCTTCAACTCTTCCATGGGAACATAATGCAGTAACCAGAAGGTCCAGTGCATGACTATGTGGACACTGCCCTTTCACTAACAAGTAGTTCCAAAAACTTAGTCCCAAATCAATATTCTGATTCTCGCAGAAAAACTTTATCAACATAACAACGCTCCGCGTCTTTGGCAAGAACCCCTGTTCAGTCATCTTGTCATACAGTCCATATACACCGTGAACATCTTTTAACCTTATCAATCCCCAGAACATAGTATGATAGGTTAAATGGTCATGACAGATCTTCTTCTCGTCCATTTCCTCCATTAACTCAACTGCAGCTTTGATATCCCGAGACCTGAGAAGTGAACTCAAGAGAGCGTTATAAGCACAAACATCTATTGTTAAGTTTCTCTTGGGAATTTCATGAAACAGTTCTCTTGCTTTGCTTATGTTCCGAGCAATCCCTGCCCCATATATCAAAGTTGTCATTGTTTGTAATGTTGGCAAGCAGTGATTAACACTTTCCATCTCTTTCAGCAGTCTCAGGGCATCACCCAGACGGCCTTTCTTGCAGTAAGCATCAATTCTGATGTTGTAAGTCACATAGTTAGGCTTGAAGCCTCTTCGGATCATCTCATGGTAAAACAGCTCCACTGATGTTACATTTCCGGCCTCCTTGAACCCTAAAAGCAGAATGTTCATTGTTTTAGTGTTTGGAGCAAACCGGGAATGAAGCTTATTGAACACAGATTTAGCTTCTTTCATTTGCCTTTGAGTGCAAAATGCGTGTAGGAGTGCATTGAACTCTTCTGTGCCGAACTTTTTCCCAACAAAAATATCTCTCTCCAACTTCTCGAAAGCTTCAAGAGTGTCCTCATAGGATTGTGATTTTGCTATTCTTGACAACATAATATTCATAGACTTAAGAGTAAGGAGTGACGGATGTGTCTCCTTGATTTCTGCCATCAGTTCCCACGCTTTATCAAAGTAGCGCATTCTGGTCAGTATATGAATCGTCTTCTCAAACGCATCTGGTGTTGAGCTTTTATCAGAATGAAAAAGACAAAATTTGAAAAATTCACAAGCTTTAAGCCCATTGGCATGTGCTGCAAATAAGCGGCCAAGAACATTATTCACAAAGGATGGAGACAAAGATGCGGGATTGATATATCTTTCAAGAGTGGGCTGCAATGGCTGATCGGGAAAACAATGTTCATTAATTACTTTGACAATGTTCTCAATTTCACCTGTTCCTGAACAAGAAGCATGAAACCACCTGCTTGGTCTGAGAAACCCAGAATTTAACCTTCCAATAACCTGGAGCGCTTCATTGAACTCGTGCATTCTTACAAGTAGCATTTTTTGTGGTTTCGATAGTTGAACGAAATGAAACTTTTGATCTTCACTTCATAGCCGGAACTTTATCACCTTATCAAAGAAGTATTCAGTCCAGCGATTCTAAGGAATGGAAACCCAAATGCTAAAGAATCTCAGGTCAAAAGTTAAGCCAATAGATAGGTATGTGTATCTGTGCCAATGGATAGGAGTATGTGGCGCAGTGGCGGCTTGGGTGTTTGGAACTGATTCTCTTCTTCTTTTTTAAAAACAGAAGTTTTTTCAGAAACTGTTACCCCTCAGCTTCTAAAAAAACGGATTCTGAGAGTTTATTAGAGCACCGGAAGTGCTTCTGGAATTTCACCCAAACACTCCAGCTTCTGCTTCTGCTCCCTGGAGCAGAATCAGTTTTGAGAATCAGATCCAAACACCCCCTTGGTCTGCTCCTTCGTCGTCCTCGCTGATAAGTTCAGCCCAGATTATTTACAACCAGGACGACCGTGTTGTGCCCACGACCGTATTTTACCCCGACCAGTAACAGGATTTTGGGCTTAGGCCGAACTTTTACCCGATGACAGTGAAAATTATTTTTTCTTTTGAGAGGAAGGATTTGTTTCAGTACAAATTGAATCCAAAATCTTTAAATTTGCGGTCAGAAATAGTGACCTGGTCCTATTTGAAATTAAAAATTCTATGTTGCACAAGGTTGACATCAACGAGGACCTTGCCCCTCAAGTCATCGGTTACATCATCCATCTCACTAATGAGGATCAAACAATTTTTTTGCATAAAAACGATTCAAAGATATTGAGGTTTCTTTAGAACCTAATAACTCGGGCTCCCATGTGAAAATTGCTAAAATCGAGGGACGCTTCATTCGTATTCCCACGGGGCCTCAAAATTTCAGTCTGCTTAAATTCCTCACAATTTTCTCAAATTTTGTAGGGCTTCCAATGTATGAGCAGGACGCATCAATCTCTTTTCAGCTTGGGAACACTATCCTAACAGAGGACCCGATCTCTATCTCCAAATTGATCTTTAACTCCCAAATCCATGTTGTTAATACTGAGACTAATCCATGTTGATCTCTATCCAAATGACTTTCTGGGACATGCAACAGAAAACGACCGCCGACTTCGCATTTCATTCCAAGAGGAAATTAGGGACTCTAAATTCAACAGGGCGATTTGCCGCAAAGTTAATTTTGTTATCGTGGAAAACTGCCTGCCCACAGATAATTTGAACACACAGCTCAAAAACGTATAGGAAATCTCAGAAAAACAAAAGGCGCCACAGCATGAAGATGAACAGAGCTACATTGATATCATTTTTTTGTCCATGTAGAAAGCATTTAGGAGATATTTTTACAAATTTTATATGTGAGCAGTGATCCATTTCCGCATTTAAATTGCATCCCATGCTTTCTTTTCCTAGCAGGTCCTAAACATCTCATGAACAACTTGAGCTATTACTTTATGATCTTCCTTATTATTGGAATTGCTATGAAACACCACATGAGCTTTATCACCACCACTCTCATATGATTCACTGATAGATATGATATTATTTCTTGATTACTTCCTCCCTTTTCATTAATATCCTATTGACTTGGTGTTTATTTAGACTTCGGACTAAGGTTTTGAAGGGGTTTGCGGAGGACAAACATAGACGAGTTGGTCTATATTTCGAAAAAAAACCTCGTTATTTCAGATTGGGTATTTACCCCATCGAGCAGCGTGCATAAAAAACTAGTATAGATATATTTATTAAAAAAATTATTAAGAGGAAAGAAAGACAACTAATAAAAATTGGCCCAAATGGAACGAGAGACATGGCGGAGTGCACATAATGTCTTAAAACATAAACATTACATATATGGCATGAGAAATAATCAATTAAAAAACAATAAATAAAATATCTTTCCCCAGTTCTCCAATGATTTTATATGTTTTTTTCGGTAAATTTTTCACTACTATGTCAAACAAAATGTGATTATATTGACATAGTCCAGAAATAGGGAGACCGAGATTGAAAAAACACCTTATTCCTCCTTGTCCCCAAAGTCCCAGACTTCTCCCGCCCCACCCCTTCCATTCTCATACCACCCAATAGATCTGCCCTTCCTTCTCCCTGGCTTATACACTCAGAAATCCCCTCCTTCCCGCAGAAGGAATTTATCTGTGATTTGTTCTCCATTTCACTGAAATACTGAACTCCAAATCCTAAGGAATTTTCAGTTTCTATATGCGCTTGCGCGTGCTTTGCTGAAGTTTGAAACTGTGGAAAAAACTTTTTTTAATTGCTGTCAATGGCCAGTCTTCTTCGGAACCTTTCATCTTTCAGGCGCTCTCTTATTTTAAAGCCACTAGTGAGTTCTATCCAACTTATCTTTTTCTGAAGTTGGTTTGCTATATTTTCATTTTCATCTGTATGTCTAAGGCTAAGCATTGCGCTTTGTATCAGTTTTATGGCTACTGGGTAGAATTTTTCAAGTTATAGGTCAGGTGAGGCGATACTTGCAAGAAGAACTAAAGAAATGAACGTTTTTAGGAAGTATTCTCTCCTTTGTAGTTACAAGGTGTAAAAGTATTGAACTTGAACCATTCTTCATCTTCATAAAATGTTAGCTCTCTTCTGTTGCAACATTGAGTACTAAAACAATACGTTTTAATGGGTTTCGGGAAAGGGAGAAGGAATCAGTTTGCAGCTTTCATATCACTGTGCTTTTGAGTGCTTGACTCTTCTCTAGAGTAACACCTTCTCAGCTGTTAAGTAAGGATATTTGACTCTTTTTCCGCAGGGCTTCAGGAATAGCCTAGTTGGGGCCTCTACTCAGAGATGTAACTTCGCTTCTAAAAGTGCGTAACTTGTTTTCTTTTCGCACTCTCTCCTGCTTGTGTTTCACAATCCTGATTTTTGTAGCCACCTTTACTACTATATGGATTCTAGTTATAAGTTAATAGACGACTGCCCAACTGAATAAAATACTTATATATTAGGGTAATAGGTTTTGCACTGCAACTCATATACATTCAATTAGGAGCACATGGAGATGGTATACTTGAAATCACTTCCTGCATGAACTTCCTAATATTGCAACACATAGTTGCATATGTATGGGTTTAAGTGATTAAGTCAATCTGACATAGGATTAAAGAAGCTGCATGTTTTGATGGCATTGTTTGTGTTCTATTGAAGTTTTAATAATGTGTCTGTTACTCTGTTTATGTTTGGATGTAATTGCTCATGAATAAGCCAAGTTTTTCTTAACTTGTTTAAGTTTAGGTAGAAAGAAATCAAGTTCAGAAGAGAGTGAGTCAGGGGAAGAGAATTTGTCCAAGAAAGACTTGGCTCTGAGACAAGCTCTGGATCAAATCACTAAGTCATTTGGGAAGGGATCCATAATGTGGCTTGGCCGTTCTGTCTGCCACAAGCAGGTTCCTGTGGTATCAACAGGTTCTTTTTCGTTAGATATTGCTTTAGGAGTTGGAGGACTTCCAAAGGTTGGTAATATTAAAAAAGTTGCACTGTTAATACCACAATTTGTTTTAGATATACTGCTATAGTTACTACTCCATAGACTGCCTAAAAATTGCAAGATTCATTCTCTATTCTTTTAGTAGCCTGTAACACTAGCATTGTGCAAGAGTTCTGCTTCTGAGAAGCTGCTTATCGTTGTGGAACATACACTTTCAAAGTGACATGTTTATGTTACTATATTCTTCCCAATGCTTGGGAGTTTCCTCAATTCCGTTTAGAATTTAAGCCCAAGAATGCATCATGAATGGAAACAAATGTCTTTGCTGAAATTATCTCTATGATATAGTATCTGATGTTGCCCATGATTCTCGAAGCTTATATTGTGTTCCAACTTTTTCAGGGACGTGTAGTAGAGATATACGGTCCAGAGGCATCAGGGAAAACAACTCTTGCTTTGCATATCATCGCAGAGGCACAAAAACAAGGAGGTTACTATCAAATGTCTTAACTCAAGCATTTATGTTGCTCTGTAACTTTATCTAAACTTCCTGTAGTATGAGTATTTATGGTTTACATGATTGGCTAAAGTAGTCTTTTTATTCAAGTGCATACCAATGCCCCAGTTCTAATATAGTCCTCACTAAACCTAGCTTTTTTCCTCACGTTAATTGTATGAACACATCTCCTACCATATTTTTTGCACATAAACACAACTACTCAAGTCTGTTACTCCTATAGTAGTACAAAGTACAAACTAATTAAAATAAACCAACTTTGGTCGCATGATCAAACAAGAAGAAAAAGAAAGAAATATGATCAAGTCAAGTCATACTAAAGTCTTGTTAAAGTTAAAATTGAGGATGCTTGAGTGGGCATTAAAAAATTAAAAGTGGGTAGAATTAGAATGTCATAATGTTTTTAACAACTAAAGAAAAGTTTCTGTCATTGGTTTTGGTATTCTGATTAACTTTGTTTTTAACCTTTTCAAAGCTTTTGAATTAAATGGGATAAATTTTTTGTGTACACTGTACAGTTGTTCATTTGAACAAAATGCTATTGTAAACGAACCTCTGTGTTACTTTAGCTTAAATGGAGACGAAGAAAGTCCATAAATATCCAGATATATGATTATAGTTGTCTAGAACTTACTGTACAACCTACATATATTTTTCTCAAAAAGTCCTATGTGATGTGATATTTTAAAAATAGAAAAGAATGCTGACATTAAGTGCGTTACTGAAGAGAGACTGTATCTCTAATTAATAATTTAATATATGTTTTGCTATACTGTTATACAATAAATCTCTCAATTCTCAATGTTTTCCATACATTGGGTTAGATATAATTACCATACAGAGGCAGCTCATTCCAGACTTTTGTAGGCTATTGTTGTTTCGTGGATGCTGAGCATGCTCTAGATCCGACATTGGCAGAGGCTATTGGGGTAAACACAGAGAATTTGCTTCTTTCTCAACCAGATTGTGGTGAGCAGGCGCTTAGCCTTGTAGATACTCTGGTCAGGAGTGGTTCAGTTGATGTTGTTGTTGTAGACAGTGTAAGGTCATCACTTGATCAATCAATATATTAGCCTTTATGGTTATGAGCTCATGATAGCCATGAGCAACTCTGATTGGCAGGTTGCTGCCCTTGTCCCAAAAAGTGAACTTGAAGGTGAGATGGGAGATCCCCACATGGCAATGCAGGCTAGGCTAATGAGTCAAGCACTGCGCAAAATAAGTCATTC